AGATGTTACAAATAACACACAGCATACAATGCCATAATAACTTTGTATTATTAGTGTAGGACACTTATGTATGTATAACATCTGAAGATGTGTAGTTTTATTCATGTTTTCACATAGTTTTACAGGATATTGCTATATTATTTCACATATTGTAATTCTACACATTAATATCTGATTTGTAAAACATCATAGGCAGAAAGGTATATCTGTCATTTAATGCTAAGCTATTGAAATTCTGATTCCATAGATGTGTCTCCCATCATCCAAAACCCCTGACTATTCTCTCAACTCAGTGTTTACATTCTTATATTCAAAGAAAATCAGTAATATCTTTAAAAACTACAAGTCCCTGTGCACCGTTATGGTGTAAATATAGCCTATCTATCAATTGGATCACATTTAAAAGTCAGCCAAATTACTATTGATACTGCAAGGAGACGTATTGTGTGAAGAGAGATTGAAGATATTGTTTAATTGCTGATATATTTATGATCCATGTCACGTATTCAGTTTCGGCGGCAGTTCTTCCAGTTTGTCCAGAAGTCTTCTAATCAGGGCTCCATAAATAGAGAACTACGGTAGATACAGTGGGGCAAAAAAGTATTTAGTCAGCCACCAATTGTGCAAGTTCTCCCACTTAAAAAGATGATAGAGGCCTGTAATTTTCATCCTAGGTATACCTCAACTATGAGAGACAAAATGAGAAGAAAAAAAATCCAGAAAATCACATTGTCTGATTTTTAAAGAATTTATTTGCAAATTATGGTGGAAAATAAGTATTTGGTCAATAACAAAAGTTAATCTCAATACTTTGTTATATACCCTTTGTTGGCAATGACAGAGGTCAAACGTTTTCTGTAAGTCTTCACAAGGTTTTCACACACTATTGCTGGTATTTTGGCCCATTCCTCCATGCAGATCTCCTCTAGAGCAGTGATGTTTTGGGGCTGTCGCTGGGCAACACAGACTTTCAACTCCCTCCAAAGATTTTCTATGGGGTTGAGACCTGGAGACTGGCTAGGCCACTCCAGGACCTTGAAATGCTTCTTACGAAGCCACTCCTTCGTTGCCCGGGCGGTGTGTTTGGGATCATTGTCATGCTGAAAGACCCAGCCACGTTTAATCTTCAATGCCCTTGCTGATGGAAGGAGGTTGTCACTCAAAATCTCACGATAGATGGCCCCATTCATTCTTTCCTTTACACGGATCAGTCGTCCTGGTCCCTTTGCAGAGAAACAGCCCCAAAGCATGATGTTTCCACCCCCATGTTTCACAGTAGGTATGGTGTTCTTTGGATGCAACTCAGCAATCTTTCTCCTCCAAACACGTCTAGTTGAGTTCTATTTTGGTCTCATCTGACCATATGACATTCTCCCAATCCTCTTCTAGATCATATAAATGCTCTCTAGCAAACTTCAGACGGGCCTGGACATGTACTGGCTTAAGCAGGGGGACATGTCTGGCACTGCAGGATTTGAGTCCCTTGCGGCGGCGGTGTAGTGTGGTAGCCTTTGTTACTTTGGTCCCAGCTCTCTGCAGGTCATTGACTAGGTCGCCCCATGTGGTTCTGGGATTTTGGCTCACCGTTCTTGTGATCATTTTGACCCCACAGGGTGAGATCTTACTTATTTTACCGAGGAATTTACCAATTAATTCATTAAAAATCCTACAATGTGATTTCCTGGATTCTTTCCCCCCATTCCGTCTCTCATAGTTGAAGTGTAACTAGGATGAAAATTACAGGCCTCTCTCATCTTTTTAAGTGGGAGAACTTGCACAATTGGTGGCTGACTAAATACTTTTTTGCCCCACTGTATGTAATATTTAATGCAGCCGAACCGTGTATTACAATGCCGTTATGTGATGACTTTCAAAGAGAAAAGCAAGCACACTCGGAATAAAGTATTGTTTTCTTTTTTTTCTTTTTTTATGTTTCCGGATTTCATATCGCATAAACACCATATCCAAACGTGCATTGCGGCTAAAACATCCAATCATCGAGCTTCAACGATAGCTGAGGATTATGGGTAGTTCAATGTTTTAGCCTATCAAAACTTCTGAAAAAAGAAATGTGTCTCAGAATCGAAAGGGAAAAAACTATGGGAAAAACACAAAAGCAGTGTACACAATTTAAACCAATTAATGTTGTGTAATTAACAAGGATAAACTGATGTTTTTTAGTGGATGAGTACGGCAGATATCACTGTAAAATAATTTGACAGTGAGGAGAATACGGTTTTATTATGAAAACTTCGAGACCGGAAAGTTTTCACCCTGTGAGGGTTGACGCTAACTTTACATGGACGCTGCCGTCAATAGAAATTAATAGGGGAAAGATGTAGTATATACACGTTCTCCTGGCGAGATCTCAAATAATCTTCGTAATATCTATCAAACGATAGATCCTACACATCCACTGGACGTGGATTCTAAAAGTACAATATTCACTTCTCGCTAGAAATCTGATAAAAAAGCATTTTAATGGCCAAACTATCAAACAATTTAGGATTTTCCAGAGAGGGTTATTTGTGAATACGACCCACCGTAGCGTTTGCAGTCAACGGGAGCACTAGAGGTCGAAAACTTTCAAACGTGATTATAGGTCATAATAAACGCTTGAACAATCGACCTATTTGGTCGTTTGAGTTGGAGGACTTGTTTTTATCTACCATAGTATCTACATAGATATAAGCTCCGCCTTCTCGCCACCCTGCCTGTTTGAATGACGCGAGTAAACACAGCTGGAAACTCAAGCGTGAAACTCAAGCATCCGGTGTGAACGCACTATAATGATTGGTTTCTTCAACAGGAAAATGTTTCACGCCACACTTCAATCAAGGTGTGGATGGAGGACCACCAATTCAAGACCCAGTCATGAACACGTATTTAATTGTCTCTAGCAAGTTCCAATTTCAATTTAGTTTCAATTCCATATCTGTAGGAACCAGTTTAAATTACAATACCTACGTTTATATTGCCCATGTGTGTTGTAATTGCTTTTTTAGATGTTCAAATTTAACAGTATGGACTCCTAGACGTCAATGGTATGAAGCAGTAACACGTTTTGAACGGTAGGTAAAACAGCCATTTTACCTTATCTTGAAATGTTTTGTGGTTACCACTCTTCTGCTGCCGATCTTTAAGTTGCAAAGCATTTTCCAGGAGTCTCTTTGATCAAATACGTAGCCAACCTTACCTCAAACTAACCACTTTTGGTGCTGTAGTTACACTAATTGTACCCTAATCAAAATGAGCTGACCCTTTATCTGGTCCAAATGTTGTCTTACAAGAACCTCAAGTCATGTTTTAAAATAATTTATAAGTTTGTTCATCAGATTTGTTTAAGTATCTAATAGCTTGCACAAAAGTAAAGACACTTCCTTTTGTAACTATGGACACTGCTGTATTTTAGCTGTATTATGGACTGCAGTCAACATTTTGCTTAGATATCAAGTAGCAATGTATGAAGACCAGCAAGGTTTACTTGGACCCACAATTGTGTGATATTACTTACTTTTATTTTGTCGGAACAGCCCCTTTAGCCTGGGTAGCAGTTGAAGAGCCGCCTTTAGAAAACTCTGAATGGGAAGTTGGCCTACGTTCTGATTGGGTGCGACGGTCAGAATTGTCTACCCCTCTTGTGGAAAGCCTGCCTCGGGATCTCTCTTCCCAGAGTTTGGGAAGTACAGTACCTCCAGATGTGAAGCAGGTCTGGGAGTTTTGTGAGTCTTTTTGTAAGAAGACCGAGCGGGCATCGCGAAAGGACACAGACGGAATTATCTCTTCATTGTTGTTATCTGTGGCACGTGTCACTTCTACTGGAGAACTTGGGTGAGACATGGACTGAGGTCTAAACGCAGGAGGGCTTGGAAATTTGTGGCACACAGAAGGACAAGATGGCGGTAGGCGCACTCTAGAAACAGGTGGTGCTGTCACAGGAAGGCTGTAGGAGCGCATCTCGCCTTCATAGAGTTCATTACTTCCACATCTCTTCCACGTTTCTGATTGCTGCTCTGGCTCTTGTGCCCCCATAACAGCATCCTGTCTTAAAGGACGGGCAGGCAAGATAGTGATCGATCTTGACCTGGCGCTGACTCGGTTTGGCAGCACTTCCACATTCTGAATGGATGTTTTGAGGCGTTTGGACACTCCCGTCTTTTGGTTTATTATTGGGAGATTTAGAGTTGAATCTTCCTGTGAGCCTTCCTTATTTCCTAGTATGCCATCATCTCTCTGGAAGGAATTGTCCAACAAAACCTCTGGGGGCGGAGGTGGTAGGTTGTCTACGTCCAGGTCATCCTTGCTTTCAGGCCAGCTGTTGTTGTTATTGTTGCCATTGATTACAAACCCCCCCTCATTACCATTAACCGTGTCAGATAATTGAGGGATCCGAACTTTTCTGTGACTCCTGATATGAGGTGGGACATTCGCAAGACTTTGCCCTGGTCTACCATCCACCCCTTGGCTAAAGGTATTTATCAACCTTCTGACGGATTGGTGCTTTGGTGGTTTGGGTGCTAACATTTTTGAGGAACCAGGTGATTGATTTGTTCTGAAATGGCCTTTTTGTGCACCTGACGATTCACTTAATGAATGCCGTCTTTGTCCATTTCTATACAGGTTATAATGAGGACCTGCTAACTCCTTCTTTCCTTGACCTTCAGCCATCTTTTTCATTTGTTGATCCAAGTCCCCCCGGTTCTTTTGTAGTTCCATCATAAAGTCTACGCTCATGATGGATGATATGTATTCAGTAGCAGTCACAGTAGTCAGGGGTCGTTTCCCTTCAGGCTGCCGGTCCTTCATGTACTTTGCACACATGTAAAATAAAGCTTGACTGGGATCTGGTGGGGAAGAGTTTGACCTTTGCCTTTCAGGCCTATCGTCTTCGTCATCCTCAAACTCTTCATCATCATCATCATCATCCTCCTCGTCATCTTCATCATCCTCATTGTAGCCCTCAAGATTGGGTAAATTACCGGACAGAATATCACATGTACCTCGATTGTTGAATCCAGATCCACAAATTCCAGCTCCAGCACTCCCACGCTGCCGGTGGTACCTCTCAGACCCCGTCATATTCTCATTTTCTCCCCCAATCCCACTGTCCTGACTGTGCAGGGACAACTTCTCTGGGTTATACTTCCTCATGGCAGCTTCCTCCACTTGTGCCAGCACTTGAAACAACCTCTGCTCTGCTGCCTGCTTGGCATGCATCTTCCCAACCAGCAGTTTAGAGATAGAAGCAAAATACTCTACCGCCTCCTCAAGGGTGGTGTCACTAAGTGCGTGGACCGAGCCCCCCACAAGCCTCAATTTCTCTGTTGAATGCTGAAGCAGTTGCTGTAACAGATCTGGAGGTGGGTTTGGGGGGTTGCCTGTGTCATTTTTCGGTTTAGATGGCATAATAGTGGGGCCCATCATCCCCGATTGCAAGGCCATATTGTCCCCATGCTCTTTCAACATGAGCTCCCCCTCCTCGGCCATTTCCTCTAGAGCCTGGTTGATCTCCTCGAAGCGAAACACCAAAGCAGATATCGGGGGCTGCAGGGACAGCTGGGTCTGCGCGGCCTGGTCCAGCAGGCCCAGCAGGGTCTCATATTTGGAGATGTTCGGATTCAGATAGGCATAGGCTGCCACGTGAGCCCTCACCATGTGTGGAGGGAGGTCCACCTTTCTCTGGATACAAGACGTTTTTCTTTGCTTTTTAGTAGACCTTCTCCTGCCTTTATTCTTCTTTATCTTCTCTGTTGTTGAACATGTGTCTGTTTGTACAATCTCCTCGACTATTCCTAACGGCCTCACATCCACCTCTGTTTCTTTAATGTCCTCTGTGTTTTGGGCCACTGCTGCGTCGCATGCCAGCTGAGAACAATCAATCTCTTTCGTATGAGGTTCTTCAATGGGAAGAGGAAGTTCATGTTCTTCCTCGTCAGTCTTGAAACACTCACCCTTTTCTTCTTCAGGTCTAGAATCAACACCCTCCTGTGGTGCTTCATCTGGCAAATCTGATTGAGGTTGAGAATTTGCTGTCTTAGAAAATAACTTTCCTTTGGATGGAGAGGAGCCCATTTGTGCATTTAAATGTTATTCAATAAACCTTAATCTCTTTCTCTGAAGAAAATCAAGTCAGGGAAAAAAAGGGAAAGCCAAAGTGTAAATCCACAAGTACGGTCTTCTAAAATCCTCCAATTATGTCCTTCTGTTGACAGTCAATCCTCCAGACGTTAGTTTGAATATATTTCTGCAGTTAGTTATTGCTTTATTCTCAGTAAAAAAGTGCACAAACTGAAACCTGTACTGACTACCTACCGAGGCTTGTGATGGTAAGGAGCTGTGAGGATAAGACGTATTGGGGGGGGGGGGGTTTCTCCCCTTCAGCATGCACAGATGGTCATGTTAAGTACATCAACACACACACTTGCACACACACACAAATACACACAGGCATTGAAATGTAAGACTTTAAGCTCATCAGGTTAATCAGAGCCTACTGTCAGGTGATGTTTTCAGCCTCATCCACTGTGCTGGTGGTAGTTTACATGCAACTGTTGGGTTCACTCAGAGATAAATAACTATTTTCAGAGATGTGTTGCTTAGCTTGTTGTATAATATTTTACCTTACTGTAAAGAAATATATTACATATTTTTTGGAGTTGTGTCTTTGCAAGACTAATTATGTATCTCTCTCTCTCACACACACACACACACACACACACACACACACACACACACACACACACACACACACACACACACACACACACACACACACACACACACACACACACACACACACACACACACACCACACACACACACACACACACACACACATACACACACACACACTGAAACTCCCTCAAGCCTAAGTGTCAGGTACAGACACCTATCAGGTTTTGTTCAGGTCATAGTGACAGTTCTTGTGAAAGCTGAATCACACCTGACTTATTTGAAATGCCTATTCAAAACATGACCTACTTCAATGTCATCTTCAACAAAAACAATTTCACCTGGCAATTATCCAAAATAAACTGCACATGCACACTCAATAATTGTCTTGCATGATAAAATAATGACAAGTATAAAAAAAGATCCGCACCAGTCTGGTTTCAAGGCAGGTCACTCCACAGAAACTGCCCTCCTTGCTGTCACTGAGGAACTGCACACTGCTAAAGCAGCCTCCCTCTCCTCTGTCATCATCCTTTTGGACCTGTCTGCTGCATTCGACACGGTGAATCATCAGATCCTCCTTCGCACTCTCCAAGCACTTGGAGTTTCAGGCTCTGCACTTTCCCTCCTCACCTCATACCTCAAAGACCGCACCTACAGGGTTACTTGGAGAGGGTCCGAGTCCGACCCTTGTCAATTAACTACAGGGGTCCCCTCCTCTTCTCCTTGTACACAAACTCGCTCAGATCAGTCATTAGCCCGCATGGTTTTTCATACCACTGCTACGCTGACGACACCCAATTAATTCTGTCCTTTCCCCGCTAAGAGACCCAGGTCGTCGCACGCATCTCTGCTTGTCTAGCTGACATCTCTCAGTGGATGTCTGATCATCCCCTCAAGCTCAACCTTGACAAGACTGAACTGCTTTTCCTTCCGGGAAAAGATTGTCCCACTCTTGATCTAACAATCAACATTGGCACCTCTGTTGTTTCCCCGACTCAGACTGCAAGGAATCTGGGTGTGACCCTAGATAACAACCTGTCCTTCACTGCAAACATAGCTGCTACAACCCGCTGCTGCAGATACACGCTTTACAACATCAGGAGGATGCGTCCCCAGCTGACCCAGAAATCGACGCAGGTTCTGGTCCAGGCTCTCGTCATCTCACGCCTAGACTACTGCAACTCCCTCCTGGCTGGTCTACCTGCATGTGCCATCCGACCTCTGCAGCTCATCCAGAATGCAGCTGCTCGCCTGGTCTTCAACCTTCCTAAATTCTCCCACACCACTCCGCTCTGTAGTGGACATTTTTATTATATCCTCATATGCTTAAACCAAATGCTTCTCAACACATTGTAAAACACCTATATCATTTCCTGAGATGTGCTGTTTTCTTCTTTTACTCTACTGTGGGTTTATTCCCAAGCGCTTCAAGGCCACACAGCTGATTTGGCAGACTATGTTGAGGCTACTCCTCTCCACACAAAGTCTCACAAGAACTTCCCTATTCTGAGCTCAAGGCCAGGTGTCTAATAACAATATGACCGTTTGAAGACAGATTTCTGCACTTCCCACTCTGTGCTGTATATAAGCTTTGCTTTCATATTGAACTGCGCACACTCACGCAGACTTTCTATACTCTGTGAGACCTGTGTCTATATTTTATTGTATCTTGTATTTGAAGCTTCAAATAAATAACCAGAAAGACAACTCTGTCTGATTCACCATTTATTTGTTTTGATCACTCTGACTTGTACTCTCCACAGTGTTGGGTCTCAGATTTCCATAACAATTGGCGCTGCGAGCAGGGTCTCTGCAAGTTCGATTGGGAACACCTACGGAAACTGGTGGTCGCGCTCCAGGATCCTTGGATCCTCCTCTACCTCGACAGAAACCGTACGGGACGAGAGGACCAGCGCCGGGGGTGGAACCGATTGACTTCACGAGATCCAACGAACTCAAAAGGCTTTCAATACTTGGTGAGATGTACATTGTCTAAATTGTTTAAAGTTAAACGTAATTAAACTCCATGACATTTATGAGAGGGACTGCTCGAAAGGATATTTGGGATATCCAATATATCGTAGCCTGGGTTTACGATCAGTGTTTGTGTGATTTGTACTGAGAAACAAATATCACATCATCGACGAATGAAAAAATAGTGTTTTGGTAACACGGGATGTTTTGGTAACACTTAAAGACTTTGTTTTGGGAGCAAAGCAGGTAGGGGACTTGTACACTCTCCTGAGGGTCCGATTGTAGATGTCATGCGAGCAGAAATGGTGAAAACAGTCTGTCTAAATTAAATATCTGGACGGAAATGTTCGGATTTCCAAAGGGAGGTTTTTTGAGTAAATAAAAAATCAAGAACCTAAAGAATACATTACAAGAACATGAAGATGGAATGAAGGGTAAACATAAAGTTAAAGTAAAAGACTTCTAGAAAACTGGACACTCAAAGAAAGTGTTTATAATACTCGGGAGTAAAAAAAGGCAGTTGGCCTTGGGCATTAAAGAAAATATTAAGGTTGAAGATGAATGTGAAGAAAAGAAGGAAAATAAATTATTTCCAAAACCATGTAAACCCCAGACATCTCTGTGTTCTTCCATTGCAGGCCTGAATGACCTCTCCTCGACTGGGTATCCTTTCCCTCCCCCGGGGTTCAACCCTGGCAATCCGGCTGGCCCACCTCAACCACCTCCACCGCCACTACAAGCCCCAGCCATGCAGTCCGTCAACTCCAAGCTCGCCACCCCCAAGTAGATGGGGACAACAGCGGGATAAACAAACCCGATGGGGGACACACCTCAGATAATGCCTTTCTCAACGGACTCACAGACACAGCGCAAGCTACGCAGAATGCTGGTCGCTCACAATACCGAGGGAGAGGCAGAAGAGGTTTTCCGAGGCAGAAGACGAGAAGCAAGACCTTCATTTGACGAAATATGTTTCAAGTGTGGCATTGGATTATGGGACTGCTCACAAGGCAAGGCAAGGCAAGTTTATTTATATAGCACTTTTCAACACAAAGCAATTCAAAGTGCTTTACAAAAAATGAAAGAGATTAAGAAAATGGCATTTAAAATCAGTCATTAAAAAGAAAAGCTAATAAAATAAACATTAAAAGAAAAAATACATGGGTAAAAGTTACAGTGCAGTCAATTAAACATTAAAAGAAAAAAAGTACATGGATAAAAGTTACAGTGCAGTCTAAGATATGAATAGTTCAACTAAAAGCAGCGACAAAAAGAAAAGTCTTCAGCCTGGATTTAAAAGTAGTCAGAGTTGTAGCGGACCTGCAGGTTTCTGGGAGTTTGTTCCAGATATTTGGAGCATAATAACTGAACGCTGCTTCATCATGTTTAGTTCTGACTCTGGGGACAGAAAGCTGACCAGTCCCTGAAGACCTGAGAGATCTGGATGGTTCATAATTTAGCAGGAGGTCAGAAATGTATTTTGGGCCTAAACCATTCAGTGCTTTATAAACCAGCAGCAGTATTTTGAAATCTATTCTTTGACACACAGGAAGCCAGTGTAAAGACTTCAGAACAGGAGTGATGTGATCCACTTTCTTAGTGTTAGTGAGGACTCGAGCAGCAGCGTTCTGAATTAGCTGCAGCTTTCTAATAGATGTTTTAGTGAGACCTGTGAAGACACCATTGCAGTAGTCGAGTCTACTGAAGATAAAAGCATGGACAAGTTTTTCCAAATCCTGCTGTGACATTAGTCTTTTAATCCTAGATATATTCTTTAGGTGATAGTAGGCTGATTTAGTAACTGTTTTAATGTGACTGTTGAAACTCAGGTCAGAGTCCATGACTACACCTAGATTTCTGGCTTTATCTGTTGTTTTGAACATTGCAGACTGAAGCTCAGCACTAACTTTTAAACGTTCTGACTTGGCTCCAAAAACCATTACCTCAGTTTTATCTTTGTTTAATTGGAGAAAGTTCTGACACATCCAGTCATTGATTTGTTCAATGCACTTACTCAGTGTTTGAATTGGAGCATAGTCTCCTGGTGAAATTGTTACGTAAATTTGTGTGTCATCTGCATAGCTATGGTAACTTATTTTGTTGTTCTTCATTATCTGAGCCAGTGGTAGCATGTAGATGTTAAAGAGAAGAGGCCCCAAGATGGAGCCTTGAGGAACCCCACATGTCATATTTGTCAACTCAGATGTGTATTTACCTATAGAAACAAAGTTGTTTCTGTCCTTTAAGTAGGATTCAAACCAATTCAGAACTGTTTCCGAAAGTCCCACCCAGTTTTCCAGTCGGTCTAGTAATATGCTGTGGTCAACAGTGTCAAACGCAGCACTGAGATCTAATAATACTAACACTGAAGTTCTGCCACTGTCTGTGTTTAAGTGGATGTCATTAAAGACCTTTACAAGAGC